GTGCTTTCTGCAATTATAGTGATCAAAGGTCAGCTGCCACAAAGGAAGAGCCACTCACTGTCGGTCACGAGGTTTTTAGAGCAGCCCTCAAGGCTGAGTCTCACCTTTCTATTTTGGAATTGTTTGACTTGTAGCCTTTGAAAATTGTTCCAGACCACATGGTGCTTTCCAGTGGCATGTGGGGCACCTTTTATGTACCAAGGTACAGATTTCTTCTGGCCTTATTTTAAAATCAGAATAAAAGTGAATCTTTCTTCTCCCTCGTTTCCAAGAATATTGAGACTTTGAAAGCCAAACATGCAAAGTTTCTGCCAACTAACTCCCAAGCTCATATTTTCAACTTGTCAGAATTGGTTCATGCAATTTCAAGGTAGAAGGGATGGATGAGGGAACCGAGGCCTGGAGAGAACAGCTTCCGAACTAGAAGGACCTCACAGATCAGCCTGACACCCAGCAAACGGTCATCTGGGCTTTGGTGAAGAGACGTGCAGTGAGGAAGAAAGCGCAATCTTTCCAGGCGGCTCTTTCTACCGTTGCATGGCTCGAATTGTTGGAAGTTCTTCTTTATATAACGTTAAAATCTCCCTTGTGACTTGCAGCCAATTTTCCTGGTCCTACTCTCAGACCGAGAAGGTGCAGTCTATTCCCTAATCCCCCTTGAAGCACTTGAAGACAGATCAGGGCCCGTTCGCCAGCCTGGACACATTGCCAGCTTCTGCACCCATCAGTCCTCAGCTGTCGCCATCTTGAGGCCCCTCCCATCTTTAGCTCGTCCTCCATTTTGACCATTTTTCAGCTTGCCAATGCCCATCCGAAGAATGAGGCACCAGGACGGACCGCACCACTCCCTTTGTGGCCTGTCCCTTCCCCTGCTCTGGACTCTGCGCCTCCCTGAATGCACTCTATAATCATAGTGCCTCTTTGATTATCACACCACCCTATGGATTATGCAGGTGCATCGAGTTCAGATGCAGCCTCAGATAGACACTAGCGGTGTGATCCTGGGACAAACCACTTCACTCCAAGGGCCAAGATGGCACCTCATTAGGAGAAGGTACAGAGGCAGGTGCCGCCTGTACTGGGAGGAGTTTCCTCACTTGGGAGTTCCCTATATCAATGAAATCACACACCCAGTCAGTCTCTCTCTCCTCCCTCTCTCCCTCTCCTCCCTCTCTCTCTCTCCCTCTCTCCCTCCTTCTCTCCCTCCTTCTCTCTCTCTCCCTCTCTCTTTTCCTCTCTCCCTCCTTTCCTCTCTCTCTCTTTCCTCTTCCCTTCTCTCTCTCTCTCTGCCCTGTTACCCTGTAGACCTAAAATAGTCTTTAGATTCTGAACTTGCTTCCATTCACATGTGTGTAATTTTTAAAGGGGAAGGGGATGCTCATGGATGCAGGTGGATAGAAGCTTGGTAAAATGGGGGTAGAGCAGAAGAGGAGCCAAGGCCAACAGAACCAGTCATTGTCTGGTTAGAGACAATGGCATCCAGCAGGAGAGCTGGGTTGCAATCTCTGGTAGCACAGTGCCCCCTAGAGGATCTTTGCTGTAAGTGCCATCTTCCTGGCTCTGCTGTCTGCATGTCTGAGTGTGGAGAATCTTGTCTGAATGCCTGGCCTCCGTTAATACAAATCTTTCTCGGGGTTCACCAGTCTTTCCAGAAACACTTAAGTACCTGCTCCATGTAGAACCCTGTGCTAGGCACTGAAGGAAGATACACACATCCCTTCCCCTTCCCCACCATGCTTTTGTAGGGGAATAAGGCACAAACCTAGATCATGTCATGCTCACCTTCCCCATTTTATGAAAAATGCTTTATGGGGAGGGGGGAACAGGGGTACGGGACAAACAGAATGCCCTGTGGGGAACAAAAGGAAGGCCATTACTGAGGAGGGGCATCAGAGAAAGCTTCCTGTGGCTTTTGACTTTGTGACTTTGGCCTTTTTGGGGGTCTGGACCTGAGATTTTAGGGGTATAGGAAATGGCTTCCATACCTTTTCTAAACCTTATAGCCAGTCAGTTACCTGAGATAAGTCAGCTTTCTGTCACTTTTTCTAAGTCACTAATAACCAGGTTAAACAATCCGGGGCCAAGCACAGATCTCTGGGGCATTTCACTGGGGAGCCCCTGCCCCGTTGACATTGAACTTGAGAGATTAAGTGACTTGTCCAGGGTGATACAGCTAAGACCTGAACCCAGGTCTTTCTGTATCAGAGGCTGGCTCTCTACTTACTATACCACATTCAATCAGACAAAAAACAAGTGTTTATTAAGTGCTTAATAGTTTTCAGCCCCGTTCTACATGCTATGCATACAACAAATAATTAATAATAATAATAATAATAATAAGCATTTGTATAGTACTTTAAGGTTTGCCAAGAACTTTACATATATTACCTTATTTGGTCCTCACAACAACCCTGTGAGTTAGGTGCTATTATTCCCATTTTATAAATGAGGAAACTAAGATGGAGTGTGGTTAAGTGACTTCCTCACAATCACACAGCTAGTAAGTGTCTGATACAGAATTTAAACTCAGGGCTTGTCTATCTCATTCGAATGTAAGCTCCATGAGGGCAGGGCCTACTTTTTGTTTTTATAGCTCCAGCACTTAGCACAGAGCTCATCACATAGTCTAAATGCTATCTGCTGATCAATTGTCTGAAAACGATCTGAGGGTTTTAGTGAACCCCATGAATCAAGTATGAGTCAAGTACCTGGCATGGTAGCCAAAAAGCTCTCGTGGTTTCAGGCTGCCTTGAAGGGGGGCAGCCGTGTGTCATATGAAGGAGGATCCTGCCTGCTCTGCTCTGCTTGCCCCCCCCCGCCCCGTGCTGCCCCCCAGGGCAGAGTGAGAAGCAACAGGTGGGACAGCTTCTGAACCGCTTCCCAGATCCTGTGACCTTTGCAAATCTCTTGTTTGACCTTCCCTGATGATCGCAGAATTCCAGTTTAGCGGTCAAGTACCTAAAACTCGCTTGTCCCCCATCCCAGAAGAGTTGGAGATAGGATGGTAGAGCGTTCCAGGCAGGGGGAACGGCGTATAAACGGCCGTAGGCAGAGATGGAGTGTCGACCAATGGGCTCCCCTTGTGTGCCTCCCTGCCATGAACCTAAATCTAATCTGGGCGACCTTGGACAGGTCTTTTCACTTCTTCAAGCCTCGGTTTCCCTTTCTGTAAAGCAAGGGCTCTCGCCTAGGCTTCTGAGGCCCCTTGCAGCTCTGTGATGCTCTAAGCAAGCTCTGGAATTGCTTCATCCCAGGGCCCCAGGCAAGAACAGCTGGGTAGGGTTCTTAGGCTCAGGGGCCCCATTCTGTCACTTTCCCCTGCCCCACCCCCCATGTGACTGGGGCCAAAAGAGCAAAGGATAAAACAGAAGGATCAGGGGACCTGGAAAACATTCAGAGAACCAACTAGAGAATGTGAGCCTAAGTCCCTGCTAAGAGCACAGATACAGAATCTCCCCAGGGAAAAATCAGGGGCTGGGGAATGTGTGGTTAAAGAATGCCAAAGCCACCTTCAGACCGGCTGTTTATCCGATCACACAAACTCCTGCCTTCTGCAGAGGGCTGGAAAGCTTCTCGGGGGCTGGTGTGAGGATGGTCCGAAAGATGAGACAAGGCAGGACCCCTGGGAAGCCGAGCTGGAGTGCCCGGTGACTGAAAACAGAAGTCTAAACAGCTGAAAAGCTTTTCACGTTCCTGAGCTCCTCTCCCTTGTCTAAAGACCTTGCTAAGCTCTCTGTCCTTGAGGGTTTTAAAAGAAGGGTGGAAACAGGCGTGTGAGCATGCTTTCACACCTACAGGAGACACGGTTTATTAGCAGTCTGTACTTTTTGTTCTGAAAGGGTCACAATTACAGGAAGGCATCAGGCGCTGCAGGGCGGCAGGAGGAGCAGGGGTTCTAGTGTTTAGGACTAGAAGAGTGCCGGCCTGCTGGAGTGCAGAGCTCCTTCACTGAGGAGGGAATAGAAAGCCCTTGAAGGTGCTGGAGCAGAGGAATACCAAGGCTACATCTGGGGATTAGGGGGTGTCCACTAAAGCACGACCTGGTGATTTAGGTCAGAACAGAGTGTGCTCTCCAGAATGGTTGGGAGAAAAAAGATTCAGACCGAATCCCATTATCTGTTTTCCACCAGCGATCTGCCTTCCAAGGAATACAGTCCAACCTGGTTTTTAAAGATTCCTGGGGAATCAGCTCCAGCCAAACACGTCCTTTTTCTTCAGCTGCTCTTCCTGTGACGTGGCCTCCAACCCCTTGCCATCCTTGTCTCCTTCCTCTTGACCTTCTCCACCTTAACTAGGTCCTTCTGGACTGTGGTGCCCAGAACAGAGCACAGTGATCAGAATGTGATCTGACCAGGGAAGGGCACGTGTATTTCTTGACCACCTACTATGTGCCTACGCTAGACACTTTACAAAGGTTTCATTTGATCCTCACATCAGCCCTATGGGGAAGGGGCTGTTATTATCCCCATTTAACAGATGAGGAAACTGAGACAGCAAAAGTTGAATAATTTGCCCAGGGGCCTATAGCTAATAAGTAACTGAGGCTGGATTTGAACTCAGGGCTTCCGAATCCAGGCTCAGCACTCGCTGCACTGTACCACCAGCTACCTCTAAAGTACATATGGGCAGCCTGAAGGCAGCCTTGGAAGGTAGTGGGTTACCTCTCACTGGACGGATTCATACAAAGGCTGAACAACCACTCTTCAAGAAGAGATTCTTACTTGGGTGCAGGTTGGACAGGCTGGTTTTTGAGGTCCCTCTGTACTCTGAGAGTCCAGACTTCTGGGGTAAGCCTCTATGTAGGCCCAACACACAATATTGCAAATACCTTTCATTTAATTTTTTTCTCACTTGACATGAGAATTTGTTGTGCTTAACTATGCAGATTTGTTGTAAGGGTTTTGTTTTTGTTTTCATCTAAATTTGAGTGAGAGAAAATAAATGTTTATTAATTGGAAAATAAACTAACGTGAAAAAAACTTCTCTCTTGCTCTACCCAGGTGCCTCTTTATCTGGTAAATCATGGTGAGTCAGGACCGGTCAGATGCAACAGGTGCAAGGCCTATATGTGCCCCTTTATGCAGTTTATTGAAGGAGGAAGAAAGTACCAGTGTGGATTTTGCAACTGTGTAAATGATGGTAAGTGAAGACTTCACATTGAAATTTAGAAAGTTGATCCATTCTGAAACAATATACTTCTGACTTTGTAAAAACCCGAACAAGCATCACCTTCTCGGTTCTCCTGGCTGTGTCACAGTCCTTGCATGAAGATTTGGACTTCTCCAAAATATGGCCCATAGTCCAAAGTGTAAGGTCAGCGCACCAGAAGTACACCCACCAAAGAGCGACACGGAATCCCCTTCATTTGTCAGAGGCTGCACACATACCTGTGGTCAGTGCTCTGGTCTTGGAGACAGCCTGGTTCTTCTGCCCCTGGGAAGCCCCCAGGTGACCTCTGTCTCCTTGAGACCTCCCATATTGGAAGAGGGAGCAGACAGGCATTGTCTACAGATGCAGCCCTTTCCCCCGGCCACAGGCGGAAGTCTTCTACAGAGTGAGGCCATCCTGGGAGTCTCCTTTGTTGTTGTTTAGTTATTTTCAGTCATGTCTGATTCTCCGTGATCCCATTTGGGATTTTTTCAGCAAAGATACTGAAGTGATTTGCCATTTCTTTCTGTAGCTCGTTTTACAGATGAGGAAACTGAGGCAAACAGGGTTGAGCAGCTCGCCTAGGGTCACAGAGCTTGGAAGTGTCTGAGGCTGGATTTGAACTCAGGTTCTCCTGACTCCAGGGCTAGCACTGTATCCTCTGTTCCTGACCCACGCTGCTGTCTCCATGACAAGTCTCCTCTTGGGCTCACTCTCCCTAGTTATATGACCCTGCCCAAATCCAGGTCATCCTGGTCCCCAGCTCTATGCTTCCATTCCTCTTAGCCCCATCTCACCAAACTCCTCTTTGCTCCCCTCTTAAGGGAGGAGGCGACCCTTCTTGCTCATCCTTTGTGCCTCCGACCCCAGCCCCTTCTGTCTCCTCTGGCAGCTTGTCCTTTCAGTCCTCCCCTCTCTCTACCGAATTTCAATCTCTCATTATCCACTGATCCCTACTCTTCATGTAATCCCACCAACCCTGCCTCTGATCTGCTATCTCTCTGCTCCCTTTCACACTCGGACACCAAGAAAGCACCGTTTAGGCCTGTTGCCTTTGCTTTCTGACCTCCCCCTTGAATTCTGCTGCAATCTGATTTCCAACTTTATCACTTACAAGAAATGTCTCTCTCCGAAGTAACCTTGGATAACTACATGGTAACCACGGCTGCCTCCTGTGGTCTCTCCCCAGCCCACATCCTTCTTCTCCTCTCTGTAGCATTTCATATGGCTTCCCACTGACTCCTTCTAGGCATTCTCTTCCCTGGGTTTTTGTGAGCCTGCTCTCCGCCATTCTCCGCATACCGCCCCCAGCCACCCCGCCCTCCTTTGCTGGAGCGTCTCTGAACCCTACACCCTACGTGTGGATGTGCCCAAGTGTTCTCCCTTAGCCCCCAACTTGGTCTTGATGTGCTCTGACAGGGATCTTATTAGCTGCCATGGGTTCAGACAGAACCTCTGTGTAGATACTGCTCTATCTGGACACCCTAACCCCAGACTCTCTCATGAACGCCGGTCTTGCCGCATAGGTCCTCCCATCTCAAACTCATCACGTCCAAAACAACTCATTATCTCCCCCCCCAAACCTTGCCCTCTTCCTCACTTCCCAATTTCTGTTAAATGGGGCCTTCTTGTCACACTGGAAGCATGCTGGGTTTCGAGACAGAGGCCTTGGCTTCAAATGCTACCTTGTGTACTTACTACCAGTGTGACCTTGGACGAGTCACTTAAGGTCTTCTGGCCTTAGATTCTTCACCTAAATGAAGCGGCCAGACTCATTGACCTCTCGGGTTCCTTCCAGCTCTGAGTTTTCACCCCCCTGCTCCTCGGAGTTCTTTCTCTAAATCTTGACCTGGTTGACCTGGATCTATAAATCCTAGAGCCAAAAGTCAAAAACATTTTCACCCAGGGCAAAAAGCAATTGTGGGGCGTGGGTAGGGAAGGCAGAAGACTAATTATCACCATCGGCCCATGGGGATAGGGGGAGAGGGGCAGTCTGATTCTTGCCACCGTAAGAGGGCAACAGCGGTCCAAGAGAAGGACATAATGGGTAGGATGGGAACAGTTGACAAGTCAAGCCAACGAGCATTTATTAGGCACCTACTGCGTGCCAGGTGCTGTGCTAAGTGGTGGGGATACAAAGAAAGGCAAAAAAGATGCTCGCAGCAGACCCACGGCAGCGCCCCTTGGCAAAGCCCCAGCTCACTGTGCTAGTTACAGCTCACTGGGGGCCCTGTTCACTAGTCAAGCTTTTAATAATCATATCACCAAGAACAGAAAAGGCTTTTAAGCCTAGTGTTTTAAATATATATCTTGAGATGAAAGGGTTTTCTTCAGTAGTTCAGTTCAGATCTGAGGGTCCTGGTCTCTTAAAAGAAAAGCCACCCCCTTGGCCTCTTCCAAATGAAAGTCCTCTCCCTGATAATGCTCCAGCCGCGGCAGCTGGCCCGTGGTGAGCAAGGGGCACTCTGGCCAGCCCTGTTCGCCTTCATGCGGCCAGAGTTCCCTTCCATGAGAAACATCACACCATATTTGTGCAAGCGTTCAGCCCGTGACTCACCATTCAGCGTATCTGTGCTCTTGGACACCATCCAAGGATTTGCCAGCACTAATCTCCCTCCTCCTTGACGACGTTGGAAACACATTGGATCTGGATTTCCCCAGCGAGGCTCATGGGGGGGAGTCTTTCCCTAATACAGTAATCTTCTCCCCCGTAAAATGCAAACATGTACCCAGAGCCAAAGCATCAGAGGGAGGGCTGCAGATAGTCAGGCCCTGCTGGCTTACGAGGAGGCCATTCAGGTAAGCATGCTGGCCATACTCACATCTTAGAGAGGTGCTTTGACTTATAAAAACGTTCAACTGAATAACACTAGGGTTCAGTCTGGTGGGCCAAAGCCAAGGATACCACACGGTAAATGTGTCTGGAAATGCCTTGGGGGGAGTTGCAATGAATCCGGCTGGGATCCTCAAGAGTAGAATGAGATAAGGTCAAGTGCAGCAGGTCAAAGCCCCTTCCCACAATGCACTCAGAGCTTGAGAGCTTGCAGGTGCACCCAGGCAGCTTTCAGGGGCTCTGGCCTCCATCCCATTCTCTCTTGCTGGTCATTGAAGACTCACTTCTCTGGGCTTATTAAAACACACAAGTGACTCTTCTGTTTTTCTCTCCTTAGTTCCACCCTTCTACTTTCAGCATCTGGACCACGTCGGCAGAAGGCTAGACCACTACGAGAGGCCAGAGCTCTCTCTGGGATCTTACGAATACGTTGCTACTTTGGATTACTGCAGAGTAAGTGCCTACAGTGTTGGGGGATAGGTGTTAACTGGGATCGTCAGAGGCAGCAAAACCTGGGTTTGGCTCCTGCCTCTGACGGGGCCTAGCCTCTCAGTGCTCTAGGGAGCTCATAAGACATGCAGAGAAGTAGATTGACGGAGGGAGTTACCTCATCCGGGAGTTCCTGGAGCCGGGGAAATCCCAGGTCCAGTCCCTTGTCCCGGGATGATGACGCCCAGATTCTGAGCCAACATGAACTAAGGAAGCAAAATCGGTTTGTAGGTGAGGTAGGTAAAGGCTTGGCCTCAAAAGCTGGAGACTAAGGCTGGAGGCCCAGTTCCCATCTGGCCCACAGTATGACTTTGTTCACCTCCTGTCTCAAGGGAGGGACTTAAGCCCCATCCTAACAGAAGTCCAGTGATTGATTAAAACCATTTTTCCCAGTCCAGGAGAATGGCCTCTGTATCACGCCGTTGGACACAGAGACCAGCAATGCTATAAGTAGTTTCCAGGCCGCCCGTTGCTGCAAACCAACTGGGAACATTCCTGGGGAAGGGCTGGAAAGCATGGACAGCTATGGCCGGAGCTTTGACCCTGGGCACAGAAACATAGAGGGTGCAGAAATTTAAAATGGTCTTCTTAAAAAAGAACCATGCACTTTTTATACTTGTCCTAACTCCATGTTGACTGCACATGCCCCCTTTTCAGCCATGTCAAAATGACTGAGCCATGCTCAGTGTGGAGAGAAAAGAGGGCTGGAAATCGGGTTCCGAGAACCGAACTCAGATCCCAAGGCTGACACTTAGTAAAGGTGAGATCTTGGTCTAGTCATTTAACTTCATCTGTAAGGTGAGGGGATTGGACCAGATGACCTCTTGTGGTCTCGCGAGCTCTTTGATTCGTCTTGCCCACCCACTAGCAAAAGACATTTGTTCAAACAGGAGGCAAAGCTGCCCAATGGTGCCCCTTTGGCAACAGCATTCAGCTTCGAGGTACTCTAATGACAGATTCCCCACCCTTGTCACTGCCCCCCATTCCTCCGAACTGGTCTCATTTCCTTCTTGTATTATTTGCAGATGTGAATTGGAAAGCTGAGTTGAATGACTAATGTAGAAATATGTGTGATATAATTGGACACGTATAGACTATATCAAATTGCAGACCATCCTGGGAAGGAAAGTTTTAGAACTCAGAATCTTATAAAAGTAAATGTTGAAACTAAAAATAAATGAATTTCAAAAAAGAAAGTTGAGTTGGGGGTGCACTGTGGCGGCTTGCCCCAGGCATGCCAGAAATGCTGGCAAAGGGGGAGAGGTGGGAAGAAAGAGGTTATTAGAGAGAAACAATTAACAAATCCATGGATTGTGCCTTAGCTGAGATTTTTTTCCCAAAGATAAAGTGACTAAGCCAAATGAGGTCTTTGTTTTCACTTACCTGCCTGGCATTTCCATTTTGGTCTGGCCTCCTCCCTGCCCCCACTTTGGTTTCCTAGTTCCACAGAACTTTTAGGAGTTAAATGATTCTGGCTTCACCCATTTTACCACTGAAGGGTATCAAGATATACCTGACCCACTGTGGGTGAGTCAGTTCACCAAATCACATGGCAGCCCATGGAAAGCCCCAATGTCCTTTTTAGCAGATTTCAATGAGATTTGCTATATGGATAAAAGTTAGAGGGATAGTGTCTTATAGAAATAATTTTTGAAACATGTTGATTATTTTCAGTGGTTCCATTGTTTAACATTAAGTTGACCTCAGTGCCTCTGTATTTCAAGTATCCATGATTCCTGGAGAATGTAAGCAGGGAGAGGGAAAGAAAGGGCTAGCTAGCACTTTCTCTAGAGAGGGTTTTGTTTTGTTTCTTGTTTTTTTGGCTTAGTGTAAGGTCCAGAGAGATGGTCCGGGAGGCTTTCCTTGTCTCATGGCTTGGCCCAAATCACCAATTTGGCCTAGATGGCTAATTCCAAATTACCAGATGCCTGTGGGGTTCTCCTTGACCCTGAACCTTGACTCTATTACTTACCCAGCATGGGCTGAGCAAAGGGGCAGGCGGGGAATGATCAGAAGTTGAAATAATCATCAAACCAGATGTGTTTCCACAAACGCTAAAATTTCCTAAAATAAAGTTTTTACCAATGGCAAGTTGTTTTTCATCGTTAAAAGAAAATTCCCAGCTTTATTTTAGTGGAATTCACTTTACCTGTTGACAAGTGCTATGCTTAACTCTTTTTTTTTTTTAATCTTGGTCACAATAATTTAGTTGACTAGGTAGTCATCATTTTGCATGAGACGAAGCGGTGCTTTGAATCATGGGTTCAGAACATGGGGTGGATTTGCTTAGAAAGTAATACTGGTGAATTCAGTTCTGTGGGTCCAGAAAACCACCAACTTTGATTACGGTTAGACAAAGAATACTTTAAAGGCTCAGCACCATACGTGAACATCATTTGTGTCATTTACTTAAATAAGGTGAAGTGGTCTGGTGGAGTGGAGAGGGTGCCGGCTTTGGAGCCAGGAACACCTGAGGTCAAGTCCCGCCTGTGATACATACAGACTGTGTGACTTTGGACAAGTCACTTAACCATGGGGGAGACATAGGAACACAAAAATGTGGTCCCTGCCTTGAAGGAGCTCACATTCGAATGAGGCAAGCAGTATGCATATATCTGTGTGCATACAAGCTATACACCTGGGGGACCAGGAAAGGCCTCCTGCAGAAGTTGGGATTTTAGGTGAATTTTGAAGCCAGAGAAACTAGAAGTCGAGGTGAGGAGGGAGGGCAGGCAGTCAGGACTAAGGTTCAGAGTGGGGAGGCGGAGGGTCATATATGAGGAGGAGCAAATAGGCCAATGTTGCTGGATCATGGGATGCATGAGGGGGGAGGTAAGTGTAGGAAGACTGCAAAGGTGACCCTGGTCTCTCCCGATTCCTCTTCTGTCTGTCAGACTGGGGCTCAGCCTCCTTTCTCACTCATCATCCATATCGTGTACCCTAATTCTGTGCGTTCCCAAGGTTCTGCCCTGGGCTGCCCTTTCTTCTTTCTCGCACTGTCTCTCTTTCCATGACCTTATCAGCTCCCAACCTCTCTATACAGACAGCTTCTAAATCTATATATTCAGCCCCAGGGCTTGAGTTCCAAATTACTGACTACCTCATAGATATTTCAAACTCGACATCCTGGAGATACCTAAAACGCAGCATATCTGAAATATGTTATCTGGGGGCAGCTAGGTGGCACAGTGGATAGAGCGCTTGCCCTGGAGTCAGGAAGACCTGAACTCAAATCTGGCCTCAGACACTTACTAGCTGTGTGACCCCGGGCAAGTCACTTAACTCTGTTTGCCTCAGAGAGAGAGAGAGAGAAATGGCTAGATAAAAAAAGTAAATAAATGAATGAATGAATAAATGAAACGACAGATTATCTCCCCCTCCCCCGAGCCTCCCCTTCTACCAGATGGCCTTCTTTCTGTCCACAGCAGCGCCGTTTTCCCTCCCGCCCAGGTTTGTCACATCATTATCACTTTCGGCTCCTCGCTGTCACCTCGGATCTGAGTCATTTCTAGAGCACGCTGCGTCCACCTCGGCAGAATCTTGCGTCCAGACTCCTCTCTCCACTCACGGAGCCACCACATTAATTCAGACCCACGTCACCTCTCGCTTCTCCTAGATCTCCCTGCCTCCGTCTCTCCGCTCTCATCCATCCTCTCCACCCAGCTGCCGAAGGGGTTTTCCTAGCCTGCAGGGCTGACTGCATCATCCTGTGCTCCGTCAATTGCAGCGGCTCCCTATTCCCTCTAAGATACAATATGTATCCCTCTGTCTTTTCAAGCCCTTCACAGTTCCGGCCTACCTACACGGTCTCATGATACGTGCATAGCCTACCTTTCCAAGTCTCCTTCCTACACTCTGTGGTCCGACCAAAGTGGCCTTCCCTCTGTTGCTCACATAAGCACGCCATCTTTTATCTCTGTGCCTTCCCATTGGCCGGCCCCCTTGCTCTCCCTCAGTCTCATAAACTCCATGGCTTCCTTCACGATGCATCTTAATCCCCACCTTTAACATGAAGCCTTTCCTGGCCTCCCCAACTGCCTGCCTTTCCTCCTTAAACCATACGTACGTACGTTATATTTACTCTGCATGTACTTATATGTGTGCACATTGTCTCCTCCAATAGAATGCAAGCTTCTTGAGGGCAGGCACTGTTTCACTTTTGTCCTTGTACTGTGGGGGCCTAGTGCAGCGTCTAGCACATAGTAGACAGTTGATAAACATTTGTTGATTGATTGGGGTCTGAGGGCATAGGCTGTGTTCATTCTCGGACAAACTGCGTTTGAGCTGATTGGAAAGGACGTGGGTGGAAATGTCTACTAGACATTTGGCGATGTGGGTTTGGGGCCGTGAGAGTAGGTGAACCTCACCAATCATTGGTCATCCAAATTATCACAGGCCTACATCATGAAACAGAGTCTGTGGAAGTCAAGGAAAAAAAGTAACGGACATTTTAATTAACATTGTAATTGTAATTGACAACTCCCACTGGCGTGCAGTTCATCTGTTTCTTCAGCCCGCCATTAATGTGATGCCGCGTTGAGAGGGAAAGCCAGATTCACAATGTTTCACTAATAAGAGATTGTTTGGGGTCGCCTGTTTAGCTGATCCTTATTATTGGGAGCTATTATTGCTAACATAATAGCAAGAACAACTATGCTTCCACAGTGCTCTCCTCCCAACCACCCTGGGAGGTAGGCAGTGCCAGTATTATTCTCCCCATTTTACTGATGAGGAAACTGAGGCTCACAAAGATAAAGTAATCTGTCCATGGTCACCCAGCTAATAAGTGCCAGAGCCAGAACCTGGATCTTCTAACCCCAAGACTGGGTTTTTTTTTTCTATTCTACCCCATTGCTTCTCCTAGTGACATGTTGTAGCTAAACTTATCACAGAATCAGTCTCGGTTTTTCGAGGTCATTTAGTCCAGCCTGTACCAGCACAGGGATCCCCTCTGCAATGTCCCTTACATGTGGAATTAATTGGGAAAAAAAAGATGAAAAGGTTTTTATTATTCGTAAATTATAATAAAATTCAGATTTTGCTTTATAACATTCAGGTTTGTCTGCTGTCGTAATTCTAAAAGTGAATGTCGTGCTTCCTTCTCTGGCCGGAGTCCAGAAAGTTACTCTGAGATTTTTTTCTCTCCGAAATATTTTTGTAAGAGCAGAAGTGAAGCCTCTTTTCCTTCGTGTCCTCTCACACAGCAGTGAGGGTTCACAGCTAGAGCTCCAGGGGTCAGCAGCTGGCCCACGTCTCTGCTAAAACAGACGGGAGGAAGACGCGGCAGCATTTCATTGTTACCAGAGACGTGTCCAAAATTAGCCAGAGCCCTTACTGACATGCTCCAGGCTGGGGGGAGAAAAGGATAAATTTAATTTTGAAATGTGAAGCTATCATATCCTCAGGAGTAGCAGTAATGATAATTATGATAGTAATGATAGCTAATATAGCACTTGAACATGTGCAAAGTGCTTTCCAAATATGATGTCATTTGATCTTCATAACAGCCCTGAGAAGTAGAGGCTGTTATTATCCCCATTTTGCAGATGGGGAAACTGAGGCTGATAAAGGTTAAAGTGACTTGCCCAGGGTCACACAGCTAGTAAATGTCTGGCAGAATTAGAATTCAAGTCCTCCTGACTCCAAAACTAACATTCTATCAACGATAGAAAGGCTTATGTAAAGTAAGTTTTAACAAAATACAGCATGATTCGGATATTTATCGTTGCATTTAACTCAACGCAGCAACCGTATGTAGCCTGCAATGGGTCCAAAACAAGTCCTTGCCTTCAACGAGCTTACATACAACACGTATGTAGATCAATAAATAACAAAATATTTACAAAGTAAATTTAAAATAATAACGGGAGCATAGTCCATGGGGAGAAGGGGGAAGGGAGATGGAAGGGTCAGGAAAGGCTTCAAGCAGGAGGTCACACCTGAGCTAAGCCTTGAAGGGAGCTTGCTTTCCAAGCGATGCATTCCAAGCAAAGGCTCGGAGGTGGGAGATGAGATGTGGTATATGGGAAACAGCAAGTATGGAAGTTTGGATGAAAAGTTGAATGTATAAGTGGAAGTTAAGAAGAGGTAAACATGGAAATATACTATAATTTCACAAAATAAGACAACTAGATATTCTGGGACAGACTCTTGAGAGTAGAATAAGGAAGGATGACTGGGGGTCATTACTTTAACAGATGAAGAAACTGAGTCCAAGTTGGTCAAATGACTTGTCACATGGTTAGTTAGCACCTGAGGAAGGATTTTAATCCAGGTCATCTGACTCCAGATCAAAGTCATGCATAGTAAAAGAACTACGAGTTACCGTCTCGTATCCATCAAATTGGCAAAAAAATAGTTCAAAGTAATGAAACTCGAGGTTGCCAGGGTTGTAGACAAACAGGCCCCTTGATTCGTTGCTGGGAGCTTACAAATTTGTGGGATCTTTCGGCAGAGCAATATGACAGGATTCAGGAAAAGTTCTCAAAGTAATCATGCTCTTTGAGTCAGTCATTCCACTGTTGGGCATATACCTGAGGGTGTGGAGTGGTCAGACATCAAAGACGCCAAGGTCACTCACTGCATCCCAGGCCATCGCCAGCCACCCTGACTTTTGTCTTGCCGCTGGACTTCGATGACCCTGGAAGAGAGGATGAGGCTGAGGACTTTGTGCAGCTCTGCCTCACTTAAATCCAATTCACACTCGAGTCAAGACATCGTCCTGTGATGTCATTGGTCTTCAAAAACGAAGGTGAACAAGGTCAGAAACAAACAAAGAACTATCCGAAGATTTTTCTTAACAGAATTATTTATAATTGTGAAATCACTGGAAACAATCTAAATGTCTAATAATGGAATGGCTAATTAAATTGTGGTATATTAATGCATTAGAAGACTATGATGTGATCTAGATAGGTGAGCATGAGGTATATTAAAAAATCCAGAAAGGCCTGTTTAAAATTTAAAAGAAAGAACCAAAAGAAGGGTGTAGACATTAATTATAACCATATAAGAAGGAAAATGGAAGAGCACGAACAAGCAAAGAATCCTGCTATATGAGTAATAGTAGCCGGCAAAGCATTTTCTGTGTGTTATCCCATTTAGAGGGGTGATTGAGAAGTCATCTCTGACGCATGTATCTCATGCGTTAAAGTGAATTAACTTAAATGTTAGTGGTTATTAAGTTTGTGATACATCATTTTCTGAAATGGGGATTGATGTTCTGAAAGGACTCCCCAGTGAGCCAGCCTCAGGCTCACCCCGGGATCAGGACACCATAACGTCTTAGCAATTTTTTAGGCAGAAGCAGCTACGTCGTGGGTGAGTTCTGTACTGTAGTCCTCATGTCTGAGTTCTTAGAAGGAAGCCCTGACGACCACTAGAGCCTTAGCATCCTGTGCTTTCATCCTGCACAGACGTGTGCCTGTACTGATACGCTCAATGTGCTTGTGTCCTGCAGAACAACAAGCCTCCGAACCCACCGGCCTACATCTTCATGATCGATGTTTCCTATAGCAATGTGAAGAATGGCCTGGTGAAGCTCATCTGTGAAGAACTGAAGACCGTCCTGGAAAGTCTTCCAAAGTAAGGGGCTGTGGTACATTTTATACCATCGGCCATGTTGTGGTAGACGTGGCTGACTAGAAATTAAATTCCCAGAGTGAGAACTCCCTCCACCAATGCAGATTATAACCCCTCCATGACTTTAGTAGAATGAAGTGACTTGTCCACAGTCAAAGAGCTGGGAAGTGTCTGAGGCTCTATTCAAACCCAGGTTTTCCTACGTTCAAGTCCAGAACTCCCTCTGCCTCTTAACCGTATAAAAAGCAAACTTTTTTTTTCAAGTATAGTAAAAAAAAAAAAATTCAAGCCAATATTTTGGAAAGCATAGGGAGTCAATGAGGCAGAAACATAGGCTGGATCTGGATATCTACAAGACCTTGAACAAATCAACTAAACCCTCTGGGCCTAAGGTTGGTCATTTGTTCGAAAATGAAATAGCCACAATCAGACTAGGGGATCCTTAAAGCTCCTTCCAGTTCCAAATCTACAATCTTATGATCTTAAGATTGAACCCACCCACCAGGCCTACGCTCCTTCTCTCCAGGACCAAGGATGGGCAGAGTTGGTGATGGCTTCCATTCAATCCCCCATTGCTTTTATTCATGAGACAGTTCGTTATTGGGCAATGATGTTCTGTAGGACATTGTGCTGGGTACTGAGGAAGACCCAGAATTCAGCTACGACATAACTCTTACCGTCACGGTGCTCACTCTCGGGTTGGTGGAGGGAGAGGAAACGTGGAAAGTGATGACCCTCAGCATTAGATGGTGAGCACCTTGGACAGAAGCCCACCAAAGGCTTTAGGAAAGGTTCCAAGGAGATCCCAGAGACCCCAGTGCTCTTTTCTGGAGGCAGCCCAAGCTATCGGCTGTATCTCTGGTGTCCGTAGTGTGTGCCCATCCCTGCCCCCACCATCGGCCCTTGCTGCTTCTGCCTCCAGTGGACGGTTGGCCGTCGGCATATTGGAGACTCTAGCTAAGCCAGATTATGTGATGAAGATGATCACGTTCATACTATGCTATTCACGTTTGTTCTGGGGGAATCACTTTGTAAACTTTAAAAGGAGGCAGCATGGCGCCGTGGAAGAAAGCCACAAAGCCTGAATTCAGATCCCAGCTTCGTCACTTGTGAGGTCTGAAGCTTCTCCAGGCCTCAGTTTCCTAATTAGTAAAATGAGGTAATCAATTGGGTGAGGCTTTTCCCATACTAGAATCATAGACCCAGGGAATCCTCAATTGGGAGCTGGAAGGGACCTTGGAGGGCATTGAGCCTGGCCGTGGAAGAGGAGCCCCAAATCTGCTCAGCCGCTGCACCCGTAGCACGGCCTTCGGCTTTCCATCTATGATCCGCTAAACTGGGCGGTGGTGTTATTAGAACCAATTAGGAGATGAAACTGTTGTGCATGAGGAAGCAAGTCCCATTGCCATGTCTTCATGGACTCTGGGCCCAGAGGATGGAGCTCAGCGTATGCCCCACTTGTAGCCCCTCCGCCCTTACCCTCGGCCCATATGCTTCTGCCATGCCCTCTCTCCTCCACCGGCCTGTTGTCATAAGTGCCTCCTTCCATCAGCTGAGGTCATGGGCCTGGGTCTGCAGGTCACACGAGTTCCATACGTATCTCTTGTGCTTCTATACACATGGAACCACAACCCCTGGACCCTAGGCTCTGTTTGTACCTGAGAACCTAAAACCCTAATATGGCGGGGGTTGGTTTAGAGGCATTGAGTGGCAGTGTTTACAATTCAACCCACAATCTCAGACAGTTCTTGAATGAGCAATGACCAGGCGAGGGAGGAGGCTCCCAAGGGCACTTGAGGCCTTGGTTACTGTCTTCTGTCCAAGATGGGCTGATGGGCCTATGATGGCCTTCCTGCCAATGACATTTCCCTCCCAAGGCCAGACTTTAAAAAGGTTCATGAGCTTCAGAAAGAGTAATTAAAAATCCCCAATGTCAATAAATACCCTCTCCCTTCTTCTCTCTGCATCCTTGCTTGAGCAGAGTGACCCCAACAATGCCAGTGTCCCCAGATTCTCATTCTGTCTAGCCTAAAGAACATGACTGCTCCTTTTGACACAACGGAGAAACAAAGCCCACAGTGTGGTGGGTCCGACTCAGTCAAACCTGTCTTTATTAAGGGCTCACTCTGGACACTGTCCTTATTATTTTGGAAAGCATAGGGAGTCAATGAGGCAGCGTGGTGGGTCCGACTCAGTCAAACCTGTCCTTATTAAGGGCTCTGCACTGGGGGTACGCATGTACACTTGTCATGGTTCCTCCCTGCAAGGAGCTCAGAGCCTGCTGGGCAGAGGGAGAAGGAGCATCTGGGTGCAGGCAAGGGCAGTGCAGGGTGAGGCTCGAGGGGATGAAGATGGCAGCCCGACAATGGCTTCTGCAACACACTGAGTGGAGGCGCGTGGTTTTCTCTGGGGATGGGACTGGATGGAGATCGGCTCCTGGAAGAGGCAGCGTTTGATTTGGGGCTTCGAAATATGAGGAGGAATTCCACAATCAATTAATCGATAAGGTCGTATTAAGTGCTTTCTCTGTGCCAAGCCCTGTGCTAACCAGCGGGGATTCGGATGGGAGTGAGATTGCCCCTGCCCTAAGGGAGCTTATGTTCTAACAAGGGAGACAGCCATAGATAAGTATGTGCAGGATAAGTATTTAAGGCAGTCAAATACAAGATAATTAGAAAGGAGGAGACACTAACAGTTGGCAGAAGGGGAGGGCCCCAACAACTAAGAAAATCAGGAATGTGGGAAGTGGCATTTAAACTGAACCTTGAAGGTGAGGAGGGGTTGCATTCGAGACATGAGGGACTGCCTAAGCAAACACATCGAGGCAGGAAATGATAGGTCTTGAAAAAGAAACAGCAAGTACGCCTGAGTGGCAGAAACATGGAGTACATGGAGTGATGTATGCAGGGCCAGATCATGAAGGATTTGAAATGCTACTGGGCCAGCCCTCAGATAGAACATTTAAGCTGTTGTTAATGCAGGGTAATGAATTCATCTGCACTTTGAAAAGCAGAAGAAAAGTTATTCTTTGAGACGTGTTTTAATAGTCCAATGGAAGCCGGGTTTGGTCACTCAGCTGCTGCTTGGTCCTTTCTGGCCACCTCGCCCTCTCCTCCTGGCCTCCGGGGAAGCGGCTTGCTGGGCAGTGGGCTGGGCAGAAGGCCTGGCTCTTGGGTTTCACCTCCCAGACTGATGAGCCGTGTGAAGCTTCACTTTCCTCAGGTGTGAAATGGCGGTGATCCCTTTCCCGCAGGCCTCGCCAAGCTTGGGAGCTGGGAGGGACTTGGGCATGGTCTGGTCTGGGTTCTAGTAAGTGCTGGAAGCACTTTTTGAACCATACCACATTCCCTAAAGCTCTTCTTGTTTTCAATCTGTCGGGACTGAAAAGTGGGGCCAATGTGTCAGGGTGGACGAATAGCCTAAGAGGCGGCCAAAGCCCCAGACCCACGCACCACCCACCCCACCTCCCTTTGCCAGGCCCCCTGTAGTTACATCAGAGGAGACGAGACTGGGAATTGGGAAGTGTGTTCTTTCGACATGTTTCATAGTTCAGCCTGTTGAGCATTAAATCCTTTGAGGACAACGTTTCTTTGTTTATTAAGGTTCTTCAAGTATGTTCTCATGGAGAGAAGCCTGATGTTTTGTAATAATCTGAGACATTCAGATTAGATACTTCAAAATCATGAATTCTAGCTCCTAAATGAACCCAGACAACTCCAGGCTACTTCCTCTCTCATATCACTGAAAAATAGCTGAGCCCAGTGGGAATTCATGTTCCACATTCTTTAGTGGGGTCATTTCTTTCTTTCTCTTCTTCTTCCTTTTATCTACCCATAATCAGCTATTGCAAACAAATACCGTCCTTTGTCTGCTTCCTTCCATCCTGAGGAGACAGGGCATCCGGGAGCTGCTCTGGGCCTTTTCTGTCCCCTCGGAGTCAAAAGGAGGGGCCACCAGGCTCTGCCTCAAGGTGCCAACATGGTGGGTGGGTCATACCTCCCGTCTCCTCTGACGGGACACACTTCCCTGCAGCTGTAGGAAGTTTGCTGTCCTGGAGTTTCACCTTCTTCCACCGGCCTGCACTACACAACGCAGTCTGGCTCCCTCTCACCCTTTCCCCTTGCCAACCCCCTTGGGGTCACAGGTGTCTCCCTAGGCGACCAGCTGCTCCGTTTCTTGGTTGATCTCATGGTTAAATCCTCCTCTGGGTCAATGCCTCCGATTCACCCCTTCACACCCCACACCACTGGTGAAGTATTTCTAATTATGGAGCTACATATAGGATTCCAATTTTCAATCAGTAATAGAACATCTATAGGTATATAGAGAAAGGATGAAGAGCTGTAGAGTAGGGAAGGACCTTTGAGATCTACCTCATTGTACAGGTGAGGAAACTGAGGGACAGAGAGGGGAAAGGATGACTTATTCAGTGTCCCAAGAAGGTTCATGC